CCAACTTTTAAGCCTTTGACAAAACATGCCTGAGCAGACTGTAGGACCTAGCCAAACATGATTGTTGTTGAAAAAGGTAAGCAGGGCTGGAACTGATTATACTAGATATGGAACCTGGACTGAAAACCTATAGACAGATAAATTATGACCATAGAAAGTTTAATTTTTTTTTTAATTTCCAAGCTATGAAAAGTTGATTATGTTTTGTTTGCTGCGAAGTAATAAAGAGGAAATTAGCATCCAAGGCCACCTCTACATTTGCTTGGTAACTCACTGCCAACAATAACTGCAATATTGTACTAAGACCAGTCTTTGAAGCAGCCATTTGCATTTCTTGCAATGTACCAGATAATTTAAGTGTCTTCTTGGATGCACAGCTCAGTGTGGCATCACCACTGGAACTCTCAATTTTGAGAAAGGAGTCTCATTGTTCCACCTCTCATGTTGCTTTTTATTCTGTGATCTGGCTGTTTCTGTTGGTGAGTTTGTTGTGCCTTCCTGGTCACTAGTATCCCTCAACAGCAGCTTGGAACAGTTAATCATCTTTCTTGGATACTGCAGCTACAGGTAACCCTTGAGTTATGACAGTTCACTTAGCGATTGTTTGAAGTTAAGACATAACGCCACCCCCCCCCAAGTACTTACAACACACTCCCGAAGTTACAAATGTTGCAGCACTACGGCAGTCATTCACACTCCCCCTGCCCTCCGGGTCTCTACAAGTGTTGGGTCTGTGGAGACTCACCTTGCAACGATCTAGTGAGCCATCAGTCCCTTTGCCTGCTTAGGTGCATTCACAGAGAACAGAACCCTAAAGTAGTGCAAGATCAGTAGCACAAGATCTTGCACTACTGATTTTGCATGATCTTACATTGTAGTACTTTAGGCCTCTGTTCTCAGTGAACCGAGGCCTGCACCAGATCCGGATGAAGAGCGTTTGCAAGCTGACGAGTCTTTGGGACAATGAAATCGCATTGCTTCAAGCCTCCCATCGGCCTGAGAATGCTTTTCGTGCCGAGATTGGAAGCTTCTGGGGGCTGTGATCTCATGTGAGATCATGGCCTCCAGAAGCTTCCAGTCTCAGCATGAAAAGCATTTGCAGGCCGATGGGAGGCTTGAAGCAAAGCCATTTCACGGCCCCAAAATCTTGTTGGCTTGCAAACGCTTTTCGTGCTGAGATTACAAGCAAGCAAAGAAACTGCAGCAGAGAGGCTGGAGAGGAGACAGCTCGCTAGATCTTCACAAGGTAAGTAACCCAGCATGGCAGGATGGGGGGGGGTATCTCAGGGGAGGAGCATGAGGTATCTCAATGGGTGGGGGAAGCCTTTGGTAATTTGAAGCAGGTGACCTGTTCCATTGCTAGCCCCCCCCTCCATGGCCTTCCCCACCCTGAGATACCTCATATGCACTTAATGACCTGCACATTTGATTAGCAAACGCGTGGGTGAAAGCAGGGAGTGATGACATTCGTTTGATGTCATTCACTCCAACAAATCCTCGGATTATGAATCTAATGAACCCACACTGTATATCGGACATTAACACAATTGAGTGGGTTCAGAGGTATTTCTCGAGAAAAGTTCTCCACTCCTCCACTCAAAATAGAATTCTCTATGCCTCCAGGCTTGAAATTTTGGGCCTGGACAATCTAGAACTGCGCCGCCTGCAGTCTGATCTAAGCATAGTTCACAAAATTGTCTGCTATAACATCTTGCCTGTCAACAACTTCTTCAGCCTCAATCACAATAATACACGGGCAAACAACCGATACAAACTCAAGGTAAACCGCTCCAAACTCGAAAATACAACTTCAGCAACAGAGTGGTCAACTCCTGGAACGGCCTACCCGACTCCTTTGTTACAGCCTCAACCCCTCACATCTTCAATCTCAAGCTGTCTACCGTGGACCTCACCCCATTCCTAAGAGGTCCTTAAAAGGGGCGTGCATAAGTGCACCAGTGTGCCTACCGTCCCTGTCCTACTGTCCCCATTTATCTGTATTTACTCTCTTGTTCTTGTTTATGTTCATACCTATGCTTGTTATCTTGTACATGTTAGACAAACAAGCAAACAAATAAACAAATAAATAAATGGGTAGGCTCCATTACATTCTTAACTTGAAGATTACCTGTATTATACTTGTGAGAAACCATTTTTTCAGGGAACTTTTTTCTCTTAGAGAGGCCAGACACAATTTAAGAAAAAAAGAAAAAGACGCCACCCTAACTGGCAGTGGTGGAGGTGGATTCATGATTTTGCTGTTGACTACCTGCTAACATTCTGCATAAGACTTCCGACTGTGGTTTGCTGGCTGAACCCTTTTTTTAGATACCTGGAAAAAGGCTTTTACTGCATACCAAGGCTTCCAGCCACCTTCAGCTTCTCATCTTCTCCAGTCAAGCCAGTTAAAGTCAAAAGGAACAATAGTTACATTTTTATTTAGTCTTACTGTCAGCATCCAGTTCAGCCTGGATGAACTGAGGCAACAGTTTCATAGACAGCAGAAGATCAACAATGCCCCAACATATCTAAAAGGCATATAATTAGGAGAGGACATGGTTTTTAGTTTCTATACCTCCCAAAGTCCTTCTCACTTTAAAATTTAAATTTATGCCACCTGAAATGGCTCTGTTAAGCAAAGTTAATGCTACTGTTTTAGTCTTTACTGTTTAGCAGCTATCAACTGCTTTTTGAGAAAAAAATAGCAAGAATGTTCAAGAATAAATCTGAAAAATGTTGGAAATGTCATCAGACAACCAGGTTCAGAGAGCATCAAGAACTCCATAGTTCAGTCCTACAAACAATATTCTTGTTTTCCTTTGTTAGCAGAAATAAAATCAAGAGTACAGAAAATGATTTCTAATCTTATAACTTAGCTATGCACATTTATTAATTCAAGGTGTTAAAAATCCATTGTTATGATACAATATTACAAAGGAAGGACAGCCATGTTTTTATCAAAACTTTTCTTGGTTTAGCTTTTTAAGAATTCAACTGTAAAAGGCTAACCCAAGTAATTCACAGAAATTCCATCCACAGCAACATTTTCAGGGTGTTTATTCCTTTAAAAGAAATGGTAGCAAGCTAAGTGAGAAACTGTTACCTTCTCAGGTACAGAAACTTGTGAGTCAAGTGCTGGGAAAAGGTGACATTTCTCAGCAATTTTTGTAAGAATGCATCTGAATTCCTGATGACAAATGAGCTTCCTTTATTATGGAGAGAGAAAGTCTTTTAAAATTACAGTAGACAAGCCATGACATGTTGGTCAATGTTTCAGAGATATTTTCTTATCTAAACAGAGAAATAGAATGACTATGGGTGAATGAAAAAGCAGGAGTCAGCTTCTCCATTGATTTCCCTTGTAGGAAGCTGACATGGAGCACTGGAAATGATGGTTCCTACTGTTGTGGAATATTATTTGAACCCAAACATGTTCTGCTTATGTTTTGGCTAGTTATTTTAACATTCTTCATGCTCAGTTCAGCTTTTAAAATAGCATTTGTGATCATTAGGATTACAGTATACATAACTGAAAGATTTAGACACGAATATAATTGAGTAAATGCTGCAATTTTACATGCACACACTGATTTACCAAATGGTAAATACATTTCAATGGAGAGAATTTAGTAATACATTTCAATGGAGAAAACTATCTTACTTATGTTCAACATTTGAATACACACGCAAATGACTCTAGGCAGCTTATAATATACGGTCTAAAAACAATCTTGTAAAAATGTGTCATTAAAAAAAATAAAACTGCTGCTGTCTAATTAAGAATTTTTAAGCTGAATCTAATTTAAGCCAGAACTTTCTTCATCCATTTTCAAAAGTGTGTCTGTCTGATCAGGAGTTTTGAAGATCACAAAGGCTTCCATATTTTGTTATTTCGGGTGGTCTGATTGCTGTAATACGGATTCAAGGGTTTTACATGCACTTTCTAGTCTGAACTCCTGCACCTGTGAAAAATTCATATTTTTTTCTTTGGATTCTGGGATTTTTTTATTTATTTTATTTTATTTTGTCAAGCGGTTATAACAGGTGTAAGTATAAACAGTTGTGAATACATAAAATGGATACATATAAGAAAAAAAAACAGGACAGGGACGGTAGGCACGTTGGTGCACTTATGCACGCCCCCTACAGGCCTCTTAGGAAAGGGGTGAGGTCAGTTATATGTTTGTGTCTATTCTTAAATTCCATTTAATACAACAAGGCCTAATCCCAAGTTTTATGGGTGCAAAATGGATACCAGGATGTGCAGTTTACCACTCTAAACACTTTTCCCAGGACTTATTGTGTAGTTGTAAGCCAGATGTAATTTGCTGTACTTGGCTGAAGTAGGCAAAAACTTGGCTTAGCACAATATGCGAACCTGGCCGTTACTTTATTCATGATGAAGCAAACCGTGTTTCGTTTCCCAGAGTAAACCTTGTGCTCCCCTTTCAGAAACAAGCCGCTTTCCTCCTGCCTCAGACGAAGTGAAAGACGCTTTTCTCTTTAAAAGGTTGGGCGCGCTTCGACACCCATCTTCATGAATGGAACTTCCCCTCCTCCCTTGTGTGGGCGAGCTCATTCCGCTCATCACCGGGGTCCTTTTCCTCATCGGTGGGGGAAAATGGTTTCTTCTCGTCGGCGCAGTGTTGTTTTTCCTGGAACTGCACCGGCCGTGTGAAAGGGCTGCGCAGAGGGGCCACGGCTGGCGCGCCTCCGGTTCCGCTTCAGATCTTCTCGAAGCAACACTCCCTTCGCGCCGCTTCTCCTCCTTTTTCTGGGGCGGGCGGGAGCGGAGAGAGAAAACGGGGGCCGCTGTGCAGTTTGCAGCAATGGCAGAGCTAGAGGAGGGGGAGGGACGCAGCTCGGGCCAGAGCGAGCTTTCTTCGCCTCGGCTCCAGCAGATGGTCGTCGTTCCTCGCTAGGCGGCCAGACGGCTCCGCCGCCGCCGCCGCCCCCCGTGCTGGGGACCCAGCAGCCTTTTCCCGCAGAAGAGCACCGCCATGTCGACCAAAGCAGAGCAATGTAAGTAAGCAACAGCGGCCAGACGGGGCCCGTCTTCTCCGCGGGGAATAAAAGACGCAGGACGCCGCCATAGCGGCCGCTGCCCGAGCTTTTCGGAGAGGGGGAAGAGGTGCAAGGAAGGGAGGCCGGGAAACCTTCGCAAGGTGCGGGCGCTGTCCGTGGTGCTGGATACGGGCTAGGTGTCGACGACCGGCCCTGCTTGCGAGCGGCGGAATGGGAGAGGGGCGGAGCGAAAGCCAAGGGTTTCCCCGGGCACTGCAGTTTTCGAGCGCTTGGTCTGGGGGAACTTTGCCTCTCCGACAATATAATGCGACCCCATTTGAGGACGCGTGTGTGGTTGCTTATCTCTGTCGTGGGGTTTCGAAAGACCGCGTTTTAGGAAGAGAAAAACCGTGACTGTGTAAAATGGCGAGAGAAACCCAGCCCAAGGCAGGCCTTAGACGTGATGTTGTTAGGATTTAGTCATTTTCTTTAGAAAGGGGCCTAGCTTCATTTGTTTATTTCAATTGTCAGTGCAGTCTTACCTCAGTACTCATCGTTAATCGGTTCCAGGAAGTGTGATGGGTACCAAAAATGATGAGTACCAGACAATTTTTCCCATAAGGAATAATGTAGTGAGTCACAAGGCAGCCAACACTGACAAGTTCTAACTGTGCATTGTGTAGCAAATAAACAAGTACCATAGTATTGAGACAAAATTTTCAATTAAAATGCGTAGAGTACCAAATCCAAGGGGTTTCAAAGCAATTAAATACCAAGATGCCTCTGTATATGAATATGCCTTCACACTGTATTAGCTTACTCAACCATGTCAACATAAAATTCAGAAGCTTTCAGTCACAGCTCCATTGTTACTTTCTCTCACATCTACTCCAGCCTTACTTGCAGTTTTACCCAAATAACACTGTCTTTCATCATGGCTTTATGAGTTACCAGTGAGTTAATATTTCAATATTCAGGTAAATTAATATATGATTAGAAATGGAAGTAAGAGACTGGTCACTTCACTATGTGCAAGACAAATGTTTATAAGGCATATTCTCAAGTTACCATAATATATGGTCAACTATTTATGTGGTTTGATTACCCACCATTGAATGAAATAATGTAATAGGATCACAGAAATATCAAATTGTATGGAACCTGTGGCTAGCTGCACTATTCTTCAGTGTAAAACAGAACTTCCTGATAAAATGTTCTGCAAAGCCTCTCAGGGAAAAATTAATTTATTTTGGGTGAACTTCTTAAACATCTTACTGATATGGTAAACAACTCTCTTACAAATTGGAATTTGATAGGGTACACACAATTTTCTCTTCTCTTAAACAAAACATTGCAGCTGCTGCTAGTAGTTGGCCAACATGCTGATCACAGAGCTACAGAAACAAAAATCTGAGGAGTCCACAGCTGCTATATTCAAATCAAATGGAGGATATTTCTCAACAGGTATCTTTCTGAAGTTTTCTTAGAAACCATCTGGGAAGAGAAACATTGTACCAGACCATTAATCAGAGAATTATTTTTATAGATGGTTTAGCAAATACCAGGAAATTATTCTTTCTTTCCATAGGAGGGATAAGTAGTTTTCTGCACTGGAATTCTCAGAATATGTTGTGGAAGCCTCCTTAAAATGGCTGCCATAAGGGGTTACTTTCTTTTCTTTCTTTTTTTAAAAAGAAAGAAACCCCTTATGGCACTTTGGCATTATATTTTATATAATCATAAATACAGCTATAGTTGCTCCCTCATACCCCCTCTAGCTCTTCCTCTGCTTATCGTTTTTCTTGGCAATGAGCACACTTCTAGTGAAAACAATGAACTGTAGCCATGCTCCAAATTTATTTTCTAATTTTGCCTACAAGATCTGTGTGGGCATTCTTGGAAATAAAAGATAATGGAGATCAGATTCTTGGATCTGTTTTTCATTTTAATTAAAAACAGTTCTCTCATAAACTCTCAGTTAAGCATAACATCAAAATAAATACCATACGAGCTAATACTTTGTTAATAATGACATATGTTTAAATGATTATTTTACCTCTGCAGTATTTTTAGAGAGGATATTAGCACATGTAGAATTTAATTAAGTGTTAAGAGAAACAATCTCCTTTTTAAGTTCAAATCATGTGTTGATCATTAACAGACCAGTTGTGGTGTGTCTGGGAACTATAGTTCTATAAGCGAAATGAACTGTAATTCCCAGGAGCATTTGGAGAAAAACATGATAGATAAGCAATCCATGCATTGTGGTATTAGAAACTTGTTACAGGATAATAAAGAGCTCTGCAAATCTTTTACACAAGACTACACTAGAAGGCACTAAGCTAGAAAGCAAGTGATTGCGAGTTCAAGTCCTGCCTTAGTCATGAAAGCCAGTTGAGTGTGCTTGAGCCAGTCAATCCCTCTCCGCCCAACCCACCTTGTGGCCATTTTTATTGTGGAGAAAATAGGAGGAGGAAGATATGCTAGGAATGTTTACCACCTTGAGTTTTGTAAAAATAATAAAGGTAGGATATAAATAAGTCAATAAATAAATAATAAACATCTCAATGCTGTTGGCTCTTGCTGGGGAGCAGGAAAAGCCAGAAGATAGCTATGACCTTAATTGCTCTTTGTGATCAGAGTATTAAAAATATTAGCCCATGAATACCAATATTTGTTGGGATGGTTGGCATATTTAGGATTTGTAAAGCATATTGCGGGTTCTTTTACAAAGAGCTGCCATGATGGATAAAGCTAACCCTAAAGAGATATTGGTTGATTTTACTTTTTAAATTTACCATTCATTTTTTTCATGAGTAGATGGACACGCTCCTAACCTATACATCTGCAGTAAGCATCTATTTCTTTTCAGGCATGCATGTCTAATTTTAAAAAGAAGGTTTGAATTTCCTCCAGGGGATCCAGGGGCTGTGACTGGTGATGTGATATCATCAGAATGAACATGGTTAAATATTCAGGTCTTTTAAATATTTAAGAACACACAGAAATACGTGCATTAAACCTTAGAATATTGAAGCGTATTGTACCACTGAAAACTACAATATTGCCTTTAATATGGTAACATGATTCTGGGACCAGAACACTATCTGAGCTGCAGACCACTGAATTTTCCTGCTACAGAAGATGGAATGCATACCACGTGGCTGAGTTTACACTCAGAATTAAACAAAGCCATGTTATGGCTGGAGTATGGTGTGACAATAGTACAGAATTCTTGTGCTGGATTAAGGCCATCCAACGTTTATCATATATTTGAATGCACTGCAGAGCAAATCTACCATATTTGTCCTGTCTGAGCAAAAACATAGAAATTTTGGTAAATTTCTCATTGACTGTGGGTTTTGAGTCAGTTCTCTTCATTTAGTCAGTCAGTTGGACATTAATGCATGGTGAGGCTAAATGTGGTGAAACCTAAACATGGGATTGTAGAAGAAAAGAGCTACCTTCTTTGGTTCCCATATGCCTCATCTCACTTTCACGTATATTTTATCTCCTCTTAGTTGATCTACAGGTTGTTTTTTCTGTACGTTTCATATTATATTAGACTGAATAAAACAATTCAGACTTGAACCTTATGGTTGTGCTTCACAATAATGCTGCTTGCTTGCATGCTGGTTAGATGATTGCGATTTCAATGGACAAGGCCCAAGAACCAGAGAATGTTAAATTACTGGTACACAATTGCTAATATTGGTTCCTTTAATTTGTTCTCTATATTTCCAGTGATTAGGAACTGTCCAATAAATGGGAGAGGAAGAAACTAATAAAGAAACCACAGAGTTAGGGGTGGCATTGAGGACATATTTTTCCATGATTCACTGTCCACAATCATGCAATCACTGAATGTTTAAAAGGATAAGTACCATAGTAACCAGAATTGAAGCTGCTAAACTTATTAAATAGAATATCTTAAAAACTGAAGCTACTAGAAGTAGGTTATAAGGTGCAGAATTAAATAGTATGCTTATTTTTGAGTGTGTCTACATATCACGTTAAGCAATAACGTAGCTAAGTGTGTTGTCTGTTAAACTTTGTGTACTCCAGCAGTAATAATCCTAATGGAAAAGGGTTTGAGTTACTATGCAAGAAGAGTTTTAAACAGAGATCAAACACTAAGCCAGACCTGCTATTTTTTTGATGGTTGATTTACAAAATATCTCTAGTGCATCTCATCTTCAGGTGCCCTCTTACTTCTGAATCAACGTATAATGAAGCAAACTCTCCTTTACTAGCTTTACAGCTATACTTGCTGGACATTAAAATAGTGAGCAAATGATTGTGGGCAGAATATAATAAAGTATATTCTTTTCTGAGAAGGAGAACTGAGCTAAGCATTTTCCCCCATTTTCTTCTTACATGCAATACAAAATCCAGTTGCTTCCAAGATCCGATACTTGCAAGAATACCATAATCGTGTCCTTCACAACATTTATCCTGTCCCCTCTGGAACTGACATTGCCAATACTCTGAAGTACTTTTCTCAGACATTACTAAGGTAAGTTTTAAATTATGATCTCAAAGAAAAATATAAGTACTGTATGTATACAAGTAGCCTATTGACAAAGGATATGGCGTTTTGCAGAAGGGTCAAAGCTCATTGAAACACAGCTTGAATTAAGTAACTATGGCAGAATCTGGTTAGACTGGGCCTTTAAATGCAGCAGAATGATGTGGAATGAGATGTTTGAATTCTTTCTTACTTTTCTTCAAAGGAGTCCTAAAATAAAAATAAGCAGAGAGAAACCCTATAGCCCAGACCAGACCTTTCCTGGCACACTATTTTTTAGGATGATACTAATGTGCTGGAATATTTGAACTGTGATCAATTACATCAGCCTTCCGAAACTGGTCCTCTGGTTGTGCTAGACTACAAAAGTCAGAAAAATTTAGTGTAGATTTATGTTACTTGGAAATTCTGGGAAATATATCCCAAAGGTGCTTTTTCAAGAGGCAACTGGACTTTTCTTTTCTTTGAAGACGTTTCACTGATGGGAAGCAAAACATCTTCAAAGAAAAACGAAGTCCAGTTGCCTCTTGAAAAAGCACCTGTGGGACAACTATGTTTGACCTCAGTGACTGAGAATGTCCTCAGTGACTGACTTCAATGACTGAGAATCTCCATAGACATCTGGGAAATATAGTGTAATCCATCTGAAAGGCAGCGAGTTAGAAAAGATCTTCTCATGCAGATGGAAGCGTTTTGTTCTATTTTACATGCCTTGGTGTTTTTTAAAAAAATTAGATTATTCTGCTACATTCTGTAGACTGGGTGATGACTTGCCAAGGTTAACTGCATGCTATCCAAAAGCCAATTCTCAACTCACAAATAAAATTGGTTCTATTGATAACTCAGCTTTAGAAAATTCAGAGGCTTAGGAACCTAATGGCCCAGCCTTCTGTAAACTAGAGAATGTACATTAAAGTAGTTGTATTGTTGCCTACTTAGGCTAAGTGAGTAAGTTATAATTAGAAATGTCCTCAAGGTTTGATTAGTCTTCATTCTGAAAATATTATGAAAAGCAGTAATGTTTATAAGATTGGTTTTGTAGTAGACTCAGTGATTCTAGATACTTTGGATAATGAAATTAAAATGTGGACTCTTTCTCAAGTTTGTCCTGCATTCAGGATTTGGTTTAATCCCATCTGCAGTCAATAAAATTAATAAGAAGCTTGTTTGCTGCATAGCTATAAAACAGGAATTTTCCTACAAATATTCTCTAGTGCAGATTATCCTTGAAATCAAATTATCTTCACCTCAGTAATGATGTTATCTTTGAAGGTGTCAGATTTTTATCCACATATATTTACCCCAGAACTTTTAACAGCAACTTGATTTATTGAAATTATAGGCAACCATTTGTGAAAAGATTTGCTTGCTGATTGTTGCAGATCATACTGTTGTTAAAAGTAGAGGAAAATGTTAGATTTTTTCAAGCAGTTAGTAACCCAGTGGCCTCTCCATTTACTCAGTGCTCATGAATTTATGGCACAATCAAAGTGAATTCTGCTATTTTAAATAGTGCAATGTAGAAGATAATATTAACATGCACGTATCATATAGTGATCATTTTTCCAGAGCTTGATTAATTATTTTCACAAGCATGTTTTAGATGGTATATATACTTGAGCTGAAGTTTAGCAATAGAAATTTCTGAAATAACCCCTAACTGTTCTTTGAGCCAAGCTTGATCTTGGGATTTTTTGGCTACATCCAGGTAGGGAGTTTTAGAAATGGTTTGCCACTGGTCTCTTCCAATTTCCTAATCTTATCTTAGCTAAAAAAAATTACTTGGGAAATTAGAAACAAGATGGAATAATAGAACTGCACGGTTGATTAGTCCGTGACCTCGCTGAGCCTCTGGAAAAGGATCATTCCCCAAAATTGTTCCCAAGATTTTGTTAAACATTTTATGGAAGGAAGATCCACACTTATCTGAATACCACATTACCAAACACACATAGTATCCCTTAATATTTGATCAGAAACTCTAAACCTATTGCAATTCTTTTTCTGATCTTAGATATAATTTTCTTTTAAACCACAATTTTCCTTCAAGAGCTGACATATAGTAGTCACAATGAGTAGTGGAATGTGGTGGACCAACAAGAGTCTAGATCCAAGTTCTCACTAGATGTTGGAGTCTTTTGGGTGATATGGGTTATCAGAATCTCTCAGCCCCACTCACTTCAAATAATAGTTAGGAGAATGAAATATTTGGATCTGATCCCTGAAATATGCAAACTTAGTATTTAAAAGTTTTAAAAGCATGTGTATCCTTTCCTTAGATTGCATGACTGCACAGCACAGTCCACCTAAAACTTCAAAAGGAGTGGTATGCAACATAATAAATGAGGTGTATATATACACACACATATACATATATACATATATATACATACGTGGTCAATGTTAATATGAGCAGTAATGGGACAGATGAAAAGAACACACATTTCAGTTCTTAGCAATGTCAACGTCTCCATCAGAACTTATAGTCATGTAGGAAGACGTTTTCTGTAAAGAATTCAATGCCATCAGCATAACATGAAAAGAAGTAGATTCTGCTCTATTATCTTAATATGTCTTAGCTTCCCATGTGCTCAAATGAGTTTAAACCAAAATCCTGTTGCTGATTATGACTTCAGAACATTCATGGTCAATTTAGTGGCCTTCAGATGCAGTTGACTAGAGCCACCTTGGAGTCTCAGAAAAAAAGCTTAAAAAAAGCTTAGAAGCAGGGAGCTGATGCAAGTACAGAGTGAAAGAATTTTCTATTCAGCAAAGTAAATTCTTTATATTGTAAGTTGCCCTTATTTGGCTTCTAGCTTTTACAAGTATGTTGCAGAATTCTCTGTGTTGTGGACATGTGTAGAAATTGTGGAAGATGACCTTAATAGATATATGAAGGAGCTGTTGTTGAGGCAAAGGCTTCTGCCCACAGTATCTCCATCTTCCGTACTCTCTACAACATTCTTGAAATAATTTTAGTTACTTCAGACCTAGTCTAAGAAAGCTGTGGTTCTTCAGATGTTCTTGATCTTTATCATTCCAAACCATTGGAGTCCAAGACCTGGAGCCCAGCTATATCGGAATTGCTGTTGGATCCCCAAACTGGTCTAAATTCCCTTTGTAGCTAAGACATTGCCACAACAAGCAATGTCTTAGCTACACACAAGAAGTGCCACACTGAAAAATTACAGTAGTTGTATTGTTTTGCCATAGTTTACTCAATTAATTTATAAATGAAGATTGAATGGAACCAATATATTTTGTTGACTTTCATTAAGGATTATTTGGGTTGCATTTCAATTTGCTCCTCAAATGTCTTTCTTTTTAGAGACCCCAGGGATAAAACATGACCCTTCATTTACAGACACCTTGAGATGGTGTCAAATTTGGGGAGGAGAATTGGGCTATGCTGATTTTAATTGGAAGGATGGGAAAATGGAAAGAAATTGCATTGAATTTTTTGACAAACAAAACATCACATAAAACAATCACCATGCACAGCGCATAATACATTGATTCATTGAGCTCCTCCTTAAGTTTTTGGCAAAAAGCATTTCTCTGCATTTAAGCATGAATTTAATTTTCATGCATTGTTCATTTCCAGCCTGTTTTACCCAAAATTTCCAATGTGATTATAAATATATAATAAATCACCTCATCTAAATAAGCTTCTTGCTAGAAGATTTCTGTTATTCAAAAATAAACCAGGATCGAAATAACTTTCTAAGAGTTTCTGCATACACAGCCAGATTATTCAGGTTTTTTTTAATGGCAGTGTGTCAAAAAGAGTTGGTGAATGCAGCTTGAACTTCAGGAATGATTTTTGAAATGGTGACAGTGACTTACAGTTTTGACTTTCAGGGTCTTTAGGATGCCCAAATACAAAAGGGAAGAAAAGATAGGCTAGAAGAATTATTGTTACCCAGAAGCAAAGGAAACTATTCTCATTCAAAAGTCTCTTACACAGGTGCCATTAAACATACAAAAGCGATGACTTTTTTTCTCTTCTCTCCGTATGATCCAAGAGAACATGTAATCACTTTGAAACTAGAACAGAACAGAGTAGAATAGAATAGAATGATAGAGTTGGAAGGGATCTTGGAGGTCTTCTAGTCCAACCTCCTGCTCAGGCAGGACACCCTTTACCATTTCAGAAAAACGGTTGTCCAATCTCTTCTTAAAATCTTCCAGTGTTGAAGCATTCACAACTTCTGGAGGCAAGTTATTCCACCCATTGATTGTTCTAACTGTCAGGACATTTCTTCTTAGTTCTAGGTTGCTTCTCTCCTTGATTAGTTCCCACCTACTGCTTCATGCGCTTTGGAGAATTGCTTGACTCCCTCTTCTTTGTGGCAACCCCTGAGATATCAGAACATTGCTATCATGTCACTGTAGTCCTTCTTTTAATTAAACTGGACATAGACAATTCCAGCAACCGTTCTTTACATCTTTTAGCCTCCAGTCACCTAATCAACTTCGTTGCTCTTCTCTGCACTCTTTTAGAGTCTCAACATATTTTTTACATTGTAGCGACCAAAACTGGATGCAGTATTCAAAGTGTGGCCTTGCCAAGGCATTATAAAGTGGTATTAACATTTCACATGATCTTAATTCTATTCCTCTGTTAATGCAGCCTAGAACTGTGTTGGCTTTTTTTGGACCTGCAGCACACTGCTGGCTCATATTTAAGTGATTATCTACTAGAATTCCCAAGATCCCTCTCACAGTTACTACTATTGAGCCAGATACCACTTATGCTATACCTGTCCAGTTAGTTTTTCTTGCCTAAATGTAAAACCTTACTTTTTTCATTGTTTCTTTTCATTTTGTTAGATAGCATCCGATGTTCAAGTCTTTCAATATCCTTCTGTATCTTAAGCCTGTCTTTTGGAGTGTTAGCTATTCTTGCCAGCTTGGTGTTGTCTGCAAATTTGATGAGTTCACCATTTATCCTCTTATCCAAATCATTGATGAAGATGTTAAAGAGG